TTTTTTTTTTTTTAAGAGGACAAGAGCGGCGAGGTCTATCGCGATAGCTTAATTTCTCTATCGAGTAAAAGTTATATCGCGATAGATATCGTTATCGTTCTATCGCCCAGCTCTACTTGTGGCCTTTTTCAATACATACAAAGATGGGTCTATTTAACTGGAACACACTGTGAGAGAGCATACCAGTAAAGGTAACATAGACATTATTGTCCAATGTTGTCTAAAACAATATTTGTAAACAAAGGAAAACTAGGACCAAAAATCTGAATTTGCTGGATTTTTATTTTAAAACTAACCACAAAGTTCTATCAATACAAAAAGTATAAAAAGTACAAAAAGCATTGTTCAAAAATAACTTGAGATGAAAATATGAATTGGCACTGTGGGTATTATTCAGAATAGAAAAAGATGGCATCTCGTCAGAGCGCGTTCAAGGCATTAAATTCACATTGATTTGATTACAGATCCTGGAACAGTGAAAACACTCATCCAGCAATCAGCACTTTCAGATATCAAACAGATACAGTTTTATCCCCACTTTAACCAAAAGGAAAAAATAAACAAAAGTTAACATTTCTTGTGGTCATACATGATGTGTACCTAATAAAATAAGAAAACAAAATTATTTAAATATTAAAGAGAAAAGTGTTGCAATATTATCTCAACTGTACCAAACAGAATACACCAGTCCAACAAAATCTGGCATCAGGGAGCTAAGACAGTAGCAAATACTCTTTGAAAAACAGGGAAAAAAAACAAAATAATCCCAAACGTGTTGGCCACAGTGACAAGAGTCAAGACAACAACACTTACAACTAATACAAAAATACAGTATTAAATGTTTAAAACAATACAAGTCATTATCAAGAGTTAAATGGTTTTCAAGCATTACCCAGGTTTGTCTATTCCTTTGGACAAAGGCATCCCAAGTGTGTTCCAGTCACCAGTCAGGCACCAGACTTGGGAATGTTGACTGGTGCAACATCATCAAAATCACAAAAAACAAATCCTTTGACACACTTGAGGAAAACCTTTGTATGAAATGTTACACCTCAAAGTCTTCATCAGCATGACAATAACTCCAGTACCTTTTCTTTATGAGTGGTGCCGTGTCCATTAACCCTTTGTTTGCATGTAAAAGCACTCTCACTTCTGCACAAAACACAAAATTCTTACAGTTTCAACATCTTTTTTTGCACATCTGGCTTGGCCTTAGAAAAATCCCATTAAGTTTTCCAGTTTTAATCTAATGCAAACTTTAGATGCAATCACTGAACATCCAATGGAGGACAAACTCATAAAAATGACTAATAGCTCTAAGACTTAAAGTTAATTATATTTATAAAAAAAAAAAAAATAGCTGCCCTGAGGGAGAAGCACATGGTAACCTTAACTGTTCTTGTTGCACTATGGCAGTTTGTAAGCACTTTGGATCTTCAGACCGGCTTGTGTCTCGAGTATTGCTGGGTTGAGACGACCGTTCTTGCAATTTGAACCGATGCTCGACCACAGTCGGCCATAACACTGGAAGGCTTGGGCTGACTTCATCCACCTCAAGCAATTTCACAACATCCCACTCACACATACAGACTCCCCTTGGTTCAAATCCCTTGTGTCCTCTCACTGCTCCTCATGTTAACTGCCCAGCTGATGAGAATCTATGCACGAAGACCTGCAGACAGATCATCAGGGTTGTTAAGCAATGAGTTTCAAAAACAGCCAGAAAAAAACAAAAAAACAAAAAAAAACTGTGGTTATCAAGAGACAAAGATGGAAGCCTCACCTTTGTCACAGGTACTGCTCTGCTTTTCCTGGGCAAAGTTTAGCCTGTTCTGCTCCACTGCAGTGCCGTTAGATTCGGGGCTGCTGCTGCGTGACGGGCTGCTCTCCTCGTTCTGGTATGCCATATCCAGATGCTGCTGGGCCAGTTTTAGGTGCCTGCGCAGCCTCTCCAGCTCCCGAGACGATGCCTCGTCCCCGAAAGACTCGCGACCTGAGTCTCCCAGGTTATCTCGAAATCCCAGTTTTCCAGATGGATCCTTCTTCAAAGCAGTGTGATAGCCTGGAGGCGCAGAGGGCTGGCGGCAGATGGAGGACCTCTGGCTGGCCAGAGCTGAGTGTCGTGGGGTGGGGTGCCGGGGCCGTGGCGTGCAAAAGCAGTCACGGATACCACTGATGCCAAGGTGCAGGATCTCCAACAGGGTAAAGAGGAGACACAAGGCGCTGACGGCATACATTATAAGCAGGAAGATAGTTTTCTCTGTTGGGCGTGACACGAAGCAATCCACTGTGTGCGGGCAAGGGGAACGTGTGCATACGTACGACGGTGCCACTTCCAGACCATAAAGGATGTACTGTCCAAACAGGAAGGAGGTCTCAAAGATGGCACGTGATAACAGCTGGAACACGTAGACCTTCATCAGGCCATCTCTCTTGATGCGACGGCGCCCGTCGTGCTTTTTCTTGGGCTTCTCCGCAACCTCCTTTTCCTTTTCTGGCTCAATTTCTTCAATGATCATGGGATCCTCCTCCCCATTGTCCTCCGCTTCCTCATAGTCCCTGTTAGCACCACGGCTCACTATAGGCATCCTCTTCCTGCCCTGGGGCCTGTAGTCATCGTCATCCATGCGAGCAATCTTGTGCATAGCAAACCCAAGGTACATGATGGTGGGAGTGGTGATCATAATCACCTGAAACACCCAGAAGCGAATGTGCGATAATGGCGCAAAGGCGTCATAGCATACGTTCTCGCAACCAGGTTGCTGCGTGTTACACACAAATTTACTCTGTTCATCGTAGTAGATCGACTCTCCTCCAACAACCGTCAGCACAATCCGAAAAACAATGAGGAGGGTGAGCCAGATCTTGCCCACAAAGGTGGAGTGATTGGAAATCTCATCCAAAAGGCGTGTGAGGAAGCTCCAACTCATTTTGTCTTTGGAACAGGAACACAGCTATGTCTGTGTAAGAGAAGAAAAAAAAAAAAAGCATATATCAAAGTTAATTTCTGGATGTCTTTACCAAGAAGCTGGCCCAACAGAAAGCGCGTGAAGGAA